GCCGGCACAGCCGGCCCATCCAAACCTCCCGCCGGTGCAGCCCCATCCGGCCTCTCAGAGCCTCTCGCAGCCACTCTCTGCCTATAACAGCAGCAGTTTAAGCCTCAACAGCTTAAGGTAGGCGAACAGAAATGCCTGCGCGCTGAAGCCCCGTGTCTTTGCAGACTTGCTGCCTGGTGGTGAGGCTTTACCTTGCCTGGAGGATGTGGAGAAGAATTAGCTACAGGAGAGAAGTGACAGCACATCCCATCCCATCACTGGGAAATAAAGGGGACTTTGTGCATTGAACCTTAATTCCTTCCGTGAAATGAGCCAGGGTCACTTTATTTGTGATCTAGCATTCCCATAAATGCTGGGTGTTCTCAACCACTTAGTTAATTTGCTTTTACTTTTCCTGCCTGTCATTGTGTACTCAGGTTTTTGGAGGGGATTTTATGCAGTATAGACCAGGGGAAGAAAATCCCAATTCTTGCGGGTTGGGCTGCTCTCTGAAGGTTAACTTCTTTTACCCTCCCATCCCTGTAAACATTTCTCCAGCTACTGACATGCCCTAGAGCAAGACGTACGGTACAGCTGCTGTTGGCCCTGCTGACAGCCTAGCACAAACCGTCTCGCACCACTGACTTTAAAGCTTAATTTTTTCCTGCACTGCTGACACCTTGCAGTCTTCAGTGTTTTTCTCTTTACCTGGCCACAGTGAAATAAACCTCACCTTTTATAGAGGGATAACAAAGATGAACAGAGAGATTAAACAACACGTTCACAGGAACTCGTGATGTCTCTGTGAGTCAGGGAGCTCAGGTTTCCCCTGCCCAGCTAATGCTGTAAGCGCTAGGTCATCTTTCCCCAGATCGGAGCTACCAGCGGGCAGATGGTGTCCTTCAAGACCTGGTGAACCAGCATTATGATTGCTTCATGGTTTGACTAAAGACTGGGAGGTGTTTAAGAATTTTATTTTTAACCAAGTTGGTATTGCTTGTCTTTAAAAGTCACTGCAATAGGAGCATGTCGTTACTTGAAATAATGACAAGTAGAATTAAGCACTACGTGAATATATTTCAATATACTACTCATTAGTAGGAAATGAAACCTGAAAAATTGTGACCAATGTAGTCACAAATATTTGTTTTGCTGACCTGTCTTTTCTCTTTGTATTGTGGAGGTAGAGAGAGGCATTAACTCTGTAATAAGCATATATCCGTGGTTGCCCTCTCAACTTTGTTTCACATTTTCTGCAATCTTCCATCTTACTAAGCCATAGCAAAAAATTTAGCAAAATTTATTAATGCAGTGATCACTGATTTTCAGCTTCATTTGCCTGAAAACATGAATCAGAAGCAGTAACGTAGAAAGGACCTGCTAATTAGGTAATGAATGCACAGGGCTGATTACTCCTTTGTGTGTCATTTCTGTGGTGTTGGAGGACAGAATATCAACCTCTTGCAGAGGGGGAGAATATGTCTCGGGTTTTGGTGTGGAGAGACCACAGGAAGTACAAGATACTAGAAAAGGTGTAGCAGATGGTTGGAGAAAGGAGTATCGCAGTGGTATTGCTGGACAAGTAGAATAGTAACTTGCATTGGTAATATATGACTTACATTAGTAATGTGTTTAACGTGAGCTGTGTGCAGCTTGGTGGGGTTGCGTTTGTGTATGTCTGGAGCTTTTCTCTCTTCCATGCAACGCTTAATTACTTTTCTTTTCATTAACAGCAGCAGCAGAAGCAGCACTCCTGCCAAGACTCAGGCCCCTCCTCCGCACATATCTCACCATCCCTCCGCCTCACCGTTCCCCCTCTCTTTACCCAGCCACAGCCCGCTGCATACCTTCACGCCCACCCTCCAGCCCCCCGCACACCCACATCACCCCAATATGTTTGCCCCTCCTACGGCTTTGCCTCCTCCACCTCCATTGACGTCAGGGACACTGCCGGTTCCAGGACACCCAGCTGGTAGTACTTACTCAGGTAAGAGACAGACGGATCACGGCGCGAGCGTGTCCAGTGCGGTGTAGGAAGCCCATTCTCCAGTTTTAGTCTGAATAATTCTTTCTGGTCCATTCAATGTGGGCTCTTGGTTGGGTAGAGGCTGTACTCACTGTGGAACAATTTGGAGTGATATCAAAGCCAAAAAACACCTAGAGGCACCCAATGACTTTTCTTCTGCCCTGGGAATGAATATTTTTGCAAGGCTGTGCTTTTCCCAGGTCTGTTTTTTTCTCCCCCTGGTTAGAACAGACTGGAGTTCATAATGTGCCCACACAGAATCTGTGACCCCCTTAGCGAACGCCTTCACTGCAATTGTGGCCCGTGCTCAGCGTTGCTTCCCTGGCCGGAGGGAAGATCTCTGGTGCCCATGCACACAGCAGTCCTGAGCTCGTGTACATGCAAGACTGTGTGTGTTGGCGGGTGAGGTGTAGAGATTTTTATCAGTGGATAAAATTGTGCTCTTTTATATTTTGACTGCGGGGAGATGTAACGTGTCTGTTCCGGGTCACTGAGAGGGAACTGGGGGAAGGAAATGGAGGATTATCGGCGTTTGAGTAACGTCGGTTTGTGTCCACGCAGCAGGGTACTCCTGTTAGCGGCGGCCACTTGATGTTTACTCACTCCAGCTTACTCACACCTCCTCACCTATTTAGGACTATGTCCGTGTCCATACAAGTTTAGGGAGAACCCTCAGGTTAATGCTCAGAGGAATGCTGTAGTGAAGACAGGCTTGGTTGAGAGAGGGGAAATGGAGACTTTCTTCCGTCTCTCAGACCTTTGGAGAAGATCTGAGGGAGCTTTCTTACCCTGTACAGTGTCATGATTTACCACCAGGAAGTTTTAAATACAGTGTTGCTACTACAGCCAGCAAAAAGTAAGTGGCACAAGGTCTGGAAAAGTCCCTGAGCTCATGGGGGGTTGTTTTATTGTTTGTATTTCAGAACAAGATCTTCTCCGTCAGGAACTAAACACGCGATTTTTGGCCTCGCAGAGCGCAGATCGCGGGGCCTCCCTGGGCCCGCCACCGTACCTGAGGACCGAGTTCCACCAGCACCAGCACCAGCACCAGCACACACACCAACACACACACCAGCACACCTTCACGCCTTTCCCTCACGCCATCCCACCCACTGCCATCATGCCAACGCCAGCACCGCCCATGGTGCGTACCCCAGGCAGAAATGTGAGGATAAGTAGAGCACAACTCTATTCTTTATTACAACAATTTCAGAATTTGCCAGGTTGCGGGGAAGGAGTACTCTGCTGCCCAGGCATGGCTGGGTAGGAGAGGAAGGGCTGTCCTTGCCTCGCGATTGTCACGCGAGCACCAGGTTCAGGTGGCAGCGCAAGGGCTGAGGGACGAGGCTGCTGGCTGAAGGAGCGCTCGTGCTTGGGACGTCCCTGCGTGGAGTGGTGCACTCTGGTGCCTCCTCCTTTCTCCTGTCTCATAAAGATCTTGTTTTACTTTGAAGAAAGAAAAATCCCAAACAGTTTCACTGAAAACTAATTTTCTGCATATTTTTTCCTCTCTGTTGGTTGCCAGATAATAGAGAAGTAGTCTTCTATTTTACCAACAGAAGTAAAGCAAGGAAATAAAAAGTAACTAGTTTGTGCTTTGATCCCTTTGCAGTTTGACAAATACCCTACAAAAGTTGACCCCTTCTACCGTCACAGTGTGAGTTCTACTACTCTGTTTCAAACTGACTTAACTGCTTTTCTGTGGTGGGTTGGGATCACCACTCAATCAGTGGCACAGTGTCGAATCTCTCCCTAATCATCACTCCAGGATTTACCATTATCGTTCTTGGTTGCGTTGGCTTTTGAAGGCTTGCATTTGTGGTGCTTGTTTCTGATAAAGATGCAGTATCAGCTTTTCCAATCAAAAGATCTCTTGCTCATACACCATTTGAAGACAGGTTTGATGTGAAAAAGATGAGACAGAAGAGCTGACTGTTACACGAAGCAGGAGAGCGCAGTAATTTCATCACTGTGTTTCAGCTGTGCCACAAACCCTTAGACTGATGTTTTTCCTAAGAAACTTGAAATGAAATGACAAACTATCATACAAATCCTTCAGGGATAGGTAATCTAATAGTTTTCCTAATATATCATATTTTGTTTTATAAAAGCTGAAAACATGTCTTATTCTTCACATTTCAAAGGCACATCTGATCCACTGGGCCTGTTATGTTTTGAAAGCTCTGTTTGATGACAGCAACAGGAATCCAGCTATGCAGTAGATGTGTTTATCTAAGAACTACCAAAAATGTTATTTATTGAGATAAACTGATTTTTAATATTCCGGTTAATTGTAAAGCTTCTGCTCTTAAGGGTTTGAATCTATTGATTCATTTGCTGCTGAAATATGGGTTGCATTTCCTTCATCATATTGGCAGAGTCAGGTGTCTGGTTGAATATGACAAGAATTTCTAAATCCAATAGCGATATTTTGATGAGAGAAGGAGTACTGCATCAGCACTCAGAAATTTGCAAAGCACTTGGCTTTATGTGTTGGTTTTGCTTAGAAGTGGAACTGGGCAAAAAAAACTGGTTAAGATGACAGCGTGATGCTTTCTGCTGCACGGATTAAACACAGTTCCTGCTAACAACTCATGCCTGTAGTACCTGTAAATAGTCCTAGTAATTTCTGACACCTCATTTGAGTAACTTCAACTATATGAGAGTGTTTGCAGGATCAGAGCTCTAGGAGTATTAGGCAAACATTTAAGCCTGTGATAATTACTTTTACTCGAAAGGGTAATGCTGCTCATTTGCATCATTGTTTGCAAAATTGCGCTCCTATTTGCTGAGCTTTATATGGATTCAAAAGATACATTATCATCAATGTGGCATGTTGATTCAAGCAAGGACACGGAACTGGGAAATAGGTAAATGAATTTTAGACAAATAAAGCACAGAAGTCAACATGTAATATAGGAAACATTGCGAAAGTCTCCAACTGTATATGCTTTTCAAACTCAGTGACATAATCTCTTACAAATCTGGCAGTTACCTGAATTGTAAGGGTCATGGTATTACCCCCTCGAAAGTAAGGAGAGGCTTCACGTTGTTCTCTGTTAGCCAGTGAGCCATGCTATTGAACTTGGCGGAGCTCCACCAGCAGAGATCTGGTCCATTATGCCTCCCCTGCCTTTCCCTCAGAAAAGGTTTGTCCTTGTGAAGTGGTTGCAAAATAATCACCATTGGCGTCTGTTGGATATTTAGCAAGCTAATACCAGAAGCTCAACATGATGGCTACAAGTTACATTGATTAACAGGCTTGCTTAAACTACAGCACGGCCATACTAGCCAGGGTATTTCAGTAATCTCTTCTAGTATGACTATAGATTATGTAGGTAACAGAGGAACGGTTTGTATCAGTTTCCTGAGCAGCTGCAGTATCAAAAAGCATACTTTTACTGGCGTAAGTGCATACCTGGTAGGGCTTTTCCTATTGCAGAAGTGTTGTGGAACCGTGGCACTTCCATAGACCTTTTCCTAGTGACAAGAGTTTCCACTATAGATCCACACCAGAAATTCAGATACCTTAAAAAAAAAAAGGCAATGTTTTTAAAGCTTGTAAGGGAACTTTGCAGAAGAACAAGGTCTGTTGGAGAGTTAATCAATCTACTTCAGAATAGGGAATGCAGCTCACATAGGAGCTGATGTAGAGTTTTAAAACAGTTTTCTTTCTTGGCATCTTTGATTTTACAATGTCTCTTTTGGGAGGGGCTCGCTGTAGCGCAGTCGGGCATTACTTTTACCTACAGCTGGTGCCAGGTTTCGGTTAGCATTGCATTACACCTGCGCGCAGGAAAGCTCTGGTTACTACATTGTTCCGTGAAGAAAGCTACAAGGGGAAAATGCTGCTCAAAAGAGAAGGGATGCTGGGGAAAAAGGAGACACCGACTATGAAAGATGTACTTTGAAACCTAGAGGAATTTAACCGATACAAAGAGATCCTGGAGATACAATATTTATCTTTTATTAATAATTCTGACCTTGAGGAAAGGTCACATTTAATTAACTTAGCAGTTGTTATAAAACTCTAAGGAAAGCATTCCTTATTATTAGTCGTAGCCAATAGAATATTAAGTATTACGTCTCTTTCCAACGCTTGGAATTAATCCATTACACACAGAGTTAAATGCGGAAGACACTAGAGGATTTAAAGCACATTTTACTCATTAAAAGTTATTGTAAATGAGGACATGTGTCTCTTAATGATTTCTCAAATGCCTACAGTTCAGTATCAACTAATCTCAAAATGTTTTCTGCATCATTGAATGGCGCAGGTCCAAATTAAATAGAATTAGAAACAACAATAGAAACATGTTATGAAAGGAGACTTGATAGCATGCTTTTAAACCAAGAAAATCTTTTGATACCTCTAAAATACTGAAATATTTTCTCAGTTCTCAGTAAATGTAATATGGATAAACGACCTTGCAAGATAAACTAGTGGAAGGAAAAACAATTAAGAAAAGCACATACGTATGCCTGACATAAACTTTGCGATACTGATTTACCCTGGGACGTGATTTTCTCACTGTTTGCCCACTCCGCATGTCCAGTCTTTTGCTTTGCCCAGTCCTGCTTCTGTTCAATTGGCCATTAACTCATTTATTTTGATCTTAAAAGTAGCATACAGTAGATTGATCTTTGATTAGCTGTGTTCAGAGGTGCATTTTTATCAGCCAGATAACCCCTTCAGGTTTTTGGGTGGCAATACGAGCAGAGTTAGCAGCCATCCCCTGTTAGATCCTGAGGTTTCTCAGTGAGAACATATTTGGAGTGTGATGCTTTGAACCCCCGACTCCTACCAGAAAGCAATTTTGTGTGTAATCTCAGCATTTTCCATGGAATTGGGCGAGTTATCTGTGTTACAGTATGAGTAAAAGATTCACAGCCGGACCACAGAGACAAGATAAGATTTGGATGTTATGGTTTACTTGCTTGTTTCCCTTGTGTTTGTCTGCATTAGGACCAAACAGCTTTATTTCTTTTTTTTCTAAATTCTCTTAGAACAGATACATTGGGATCAGTCAGGTCAGTGGAGATGTGCACTTTTTTATGCTTTAGTAGTCCGTCTTTATAAAAAAGTACCCTAAATTTCTGGTGGGGGTTCTGCCTTAACATTTTGTTGAAATAATAATTTTTAACAAATCAGATTGTCTCTCTGCTAATATTAGACGTGGCAGGATATCCTCTCAGACAGGCTAATGAAGTAAGAATTGTGCATATTTTCCTCATTTCCTACAGATACTATTAAAATCCTAACGTACTAATGGATTTTTAATGATACAATATCCTAGAACTCGTAAGGGTTTTTTTCCACTTAAACCATAGGTTTCTGAGTTTTATTTGGCTCAGTATTCTGCCTTTTCTCTTGAAATGGCTTGCAAACTGAAACCATTTAAAATCTCTATCCAATTTAAAAATTAATAATTGAAAAAAGAGTCTTTCTTATGCTATGATGACCTAATCCAGGGGACAGGTTGCTGGCTTTATGATTTTGGAACTGCTTTTAAGCTCTAAACGTCATGACATTTGTGAACATTTCATTGACTGCTTTAACTAACATTGTTGCAACGAGATCACTTCTTCAATGCTTCTCAATTTTCTCCATGTACCATTTTCCTAATATTATG